ATATTTCTGAGATGAGTTATTGTGTACACTATTTACATTATTCGGACTATTGTCCTCATTTTTGTCTCCATATTTATTACAACGTTTCGGCCTTTCAGTATCTGTCTATATTTCTGAGATGAGGTATTTGTACACTATTTACATTATTCGGACTATTGTCCTCATCTTTGTCTCCATATTTATTACAACGTTTCGGCCTTTCAGTATCTGTCTATATTTCTGAGATGAGGTATTATGTACACTATTTACATTATTCGGACTATTGTCCTCATTTTTGTCTCCATATTTATTACAACGTTTCGGCCTTTCAGTATCTGTCTATATTTCTGAGATGAGGTATTATGTACACTATTTACATTATTCGGACTATTGTCCTCACCTTTGTCGCCATATTTATTACAACGTTTCGGCCTTTCAGTATCTGTCTATATTTCTGAGATGAGGTATTATGTACACTATTTACATTATTCGGACTATTGTCCTCATTTTTGTCTCCATATTTATTACAACGTTTCGGCCTTTCAGTATCTGTCTATATTTCTGAGATGAGGTATTGTGTACACTATTTACATTATTCGGACTATTGTCCTCATCTTTGTCTCCATATTTATTACAACGTTTCGGCCTTTCAGTATCTGTCTATATTTCTGTGATGAGGTATTGTGTACACTATTTACATTATTCGGACTATTGTCCTCATCTTTGTCGCCATATTTATTACAACGTATCGGCCTTTCAGTATCTGTCTATATTTCTGAGATGAGGTATTATGTACACTATTTACATTATTCGGACTATTGTCCTCATCTTTGTCTCCAGATTTATTACAACGTTTCGGCCTTTCAGTATCTGTCTATATTTCTGAGATGAGGTATTGTGTACACTATTTATATTATTCGGACTATTGTCCTCATCTTTGTCGCCATATTTATTACAACGTATCGGCCATTCAGTATCTGTCTATATTTCTGAGATGAGGTATTGTGTACACTATTTACATTATTCGGACTATTGTCCTCATCTTTGTCGCCATATTTATTACAACGTTTCGGCCTTTCAGTATCTGTCTATATTTCTGAGATGAGGTATTATGTACACTATTTACATTATTCGGACTATTGTTCTCATCTTTGTCTCCATATTTATTACAACGTTTCGGCCTTTCAGTATCTGTCTATATTTCTGAGATGAGGTATTATGTACACTATTTACATTATTCGGACTATTGTCCTCATCTTTGTCTCCATATTTATTACAACGTTTCGGCCTTTCAGTATCTGTCTATATTTCTGAGATGAGGTATTATGTACACTATTTACATTATTCGGACTATTGTTCTCATCTTTGTCTCCATATTTATTACAACGTTTTGGCATTTCAGTATCTGTTTATATTTCTGAGATGAGGTATTATGTACACTATTTACATTATTCGGACTATTGTTCTCATCTTTGTCTCCATATTTATTACAACGTTTCGGCCTTTCAGTATCTGTCTATATTTCTGAGATGAGGTATTATGTACACTATTTACATTATTCGGACTATTGTCCTCATCTTTGTCGCCATATTTATTACAACGTTTCGGCCTTTCAGTATCTGTCTATATTTCTGAGATGAGGTATTATGTACACTATTTACATTTTTCGGACTATTGTCTTCATCTTTGTCTCCATATTTATTACAACGTTTCGGCCTTTCAGTATCTGTCTATATTTCTGAGATGAGGTATTATGTACACTATTTACATTATTCGGACTATTGTCCTCATCTTTGTCGCCATATTTATTACAACGTTTCGGCCTTTCAGTATCTGTCTATATTTCTGAGATGAGGTATTATGTGTATTATTTACATTGTTCGCACTATTGTCCTCATATTTATCGCCATATATATTTGAACGTTTCAGGTAGTTGGAATATATGCCTGCCTTATGTGAAGGGGTTATGAGAGAAAATACAAAGGACCTGCGGTTCATATAACATCAGGACAACATTCAAAAGCTTGACGACACTTCGCAGATATCTCTCCCGAGTAAGACCCCACCATAGAGTAGAACATGACTAAAGATTGTGTGTACGCTATCCCGTGCAGCTGCGGAAAGAAATATAAAGGGGAGACAGATCGCCCCTTTAAGGTAGGGCTTCAAGAACACCAGAATATAGATCACCGCCCTCTGTCGGATCAAGTTAAGATATAGACAAAGAACACCATTGGAAAATGCATAAACTTAAGGAATCAGCACATATGCAAGGCCACAAAAATCTCCTGAGCCGACCAACCATAGAAATGAATACAATATGGCAACCAGTAATAAGGAGTGCCAAAGAAAAGCGATAATAACAATAAGAATTGCAATATGAACTCTGGTCAAAACTTGAAATGATAATAGCAAAAATTGCAATATGAGCACTGGTAAAAATGGTTGCTGAAGACAGGTTTATAATACCCAGAAATTCATACACAGATGTCTTCACATGGTACAGTGGATAAAGGCGTTGGTTAGATCCAGTGACAGGGACCCAAAGAGTTGTGAGTTCAATACCTGGTTAAGGCAGTAGAGAACTTTCAGAGGGAAATTAACAGAAGATAACTGATAACTAACACGTGGAACTAGAACAGTCTACCCTAGTGAACGAAATAAAGGGTTCAGTTCGACATTCCAACCACCTGAAGAAGGCCGGAGCGTACAACAGCTTAAATGTTGTAATAAATATGGCGTCAATAATGTAAATAGTATATTTTAAGCATTCCAAGCAAGCCAGGCAATAACCCCACCCTAGGATGCAAGGGGTTACTGAGAGTTAAAGAAACCGTGAGGACAATAAAAGAACAAGTTTCAAGGAGACAGCAAAGGACGATTGGCAGTGCATGTAATTTTTTTCAAAATCGTGGTTTTCAAGAAAGGAAGTAGTCTGAAGAGATTTCAACAAAAGTGTGAGGGAAGAGACTATTAGCATAGAATTTATGGTTACACCTAGCGATTTCAAAAGCAAAATTATGAGACCTAACCGTCAATCTAGTACTGAACTATGTGAAGACGGCATACCAACGAGTAAAGATCATCAGAACAATTACCGTGAAAATATTTACAGACTAGCTTAAAAAGTCGGCCTATTGGGCGCCATTTAATCTAGTTACTGCAGAGGTCTCTTGATTGGGCCTTCATCACATTAGGTAGGGAGGAGTAGATGCAATGGGCAACAATAATCTACAGAACTCAAAATTGATCGCTGCCTTTCACGGTGGAGTAATGGATAACAGCTTGGAGAGCCGAGTTCGAATTCCAGTCGGATCCATTACTTTCACACACGTTCTAATACCCTTGAGAAATGTATGAATCCTCTTCCTCCCCCTACCCAGCTATGGGCAAATAGCAGGACAGACCGGGTTCTATAGCCTTGGGTGGCAACTGGCTTACCACAGAAAAAAATGGTAACTTTATTGCGGGAAAAAAATCAGCCTCGTCAGTCATGTATCGAAAGATACATGATCGCCTAAGTGTGTATCATGCATGTCACATAACTGAAGTGATATTCACTTACGTTCTAATACCCTTGGGAAAGATATGAATTCTCTTCTTCACCTCCCCCCCCCGCCAGATAAGGCTAGATCGCAGCACAGACCGGGTTCTATAGCCTTGGATGGCAACTGGTCTACCGCAGAAAGAAATGGCAAACTTACTGCGGGAAAAAATCTGCCTCGTCAGTCATGTATCGAAAGATACATGATCGCTTAAGCGTGTACCATGAATAGCACATAACTGACTGACTGATTAATATTTAAGCTTACCTTTAAAACGTTCAACGATAATTCTTCTACCGCCACTTAATTTAAAGATAACTTCATGTGAGTAGGTCCTTACTTTCCGTACAAAGACCTATTTATTATTCCATGGGTGACTTTTGCTGGATTTCGTAATTAATTTCGATTACTTCTTAAATTTATTTCCGAGTTATAAGAATTCTTATCGTACAAAAATTTAAAACAAATCACCGAAAACAATAGTAATGAAAATATAGGAATCCAATATTTGAGTATTACTAGTCCGGATCCGGTCCAGAATATTTTTAATTTGCTCACAGAGTCGGTCTGATTCCGAAATAGTATGATATGTTGGGCTACGTGCTCGGGGAGTAAAGTTGAAAAAGTGTGACACACTGACATTCGCATTTATTATATAGAAGAAGCTCAAGGAAGCTACATTACGGCGGTGGAAAGTAACTGAAGCCGAGGTGCCAGGTGAGATCCGATAAAGTTGCAGATTGTTCTTTGGATTTTGTCGAGAATCTCTAGATATAAAACAAAAGTACAGGACCATATATGGCAGGAATCGTCGATAGACGGGCGAATAGTAGTGTTATCAATATGTAAGATAGATTCTGGCGAGAAAAAAAAATCATCTAGCCCGATGTAGTGAACCGATATTCTTAGCATCAAATTTAGATATTGATTGAATGTAATTCTTCTGCAGTGTGTTAGACATTTGGAGGTTAGCATCAGCCATGCTGACTGAAAGCAAAAATGCTTCTTTAAGAATATTAATAGTTTCGTTTTAGAGACCTGAACGCTGAGAAATGTGTGAATGAAAAAGAAAAAGAATACATCGGAGAGAAGGAAAAAATGGGAAACGCGTTAAAAAGAGATATAGAGTGAATCTTAGAGAGGAGAAAACGTGAAGAAGAAAGTAAGGGTATATCTGAGATGAATGAATGATTTTATTTTTTATGGCTTATCAACCCGTACTTTGAATTGTAAGAATAATTATTTTCTGTGATTGAATATTGCATTAACAGCTTTTTTTGAGAATAACAATGATTTCTCCAGATACAAGTCCTACTATTTAACCCATATCTGGGGGAGAAGAAGGAAGAAATTCCTACCTTTTTTAATTTTATTTGTGCGTAAGTGAATGTAACGATCGTAACTGGAATTCGGACTCAGTTCGTCTGTTGTTAATTAAGAGCCGCTCTTCATTACACTAGCCGCGCATCCAAATATTCAAGGGCTGGGGAGAAGGGCAAAAAAGAATGTGTAAATCTTAGGGAGAAGAAAAAGAAAGAGAAAAGAAAAAGAGGTTAAACATACGAAAAAAGAAAGAGAGAGTAAATCTGAGAGAAGAGGAAGATGTGAAGAAGTAAGAGAGAGTAAATCTGGGAGAGGAGAAAGATGTGAAGAAGTAAGAGAGAGTAAATCTGAGAGAGGAGAAAGATGTGAAGAAGTAAGAGAGAGGAAATCTGAGGGAGGAGAAAGATGTGAAGAAGTAAGAGAGAGGAAATCTGAGGGAGGAGAAAGATGTGAAGAAGTAAGAGAGAGTAAATCTGGAAGAGGAGAAAGATGTGAAAAAGTAAGAGAGAGTACATCAGAGAGAGGAGAAAGATGTGAAGAAGTAAGAGAGAGTAAATCTGAGAGAAGAGAAAGATGTGAAGAAGTAAGACAGAGGAAATCTGAGGGAGGAGAAAGATGTGAAGAAGTAAGAGAGAGTAAATCTGAGAGAAGAGAAAGATGTGAAGAAGTAAGAGAGAGTAAATCTGAGGGAGGAGAAAGATGTGAAGAAGTAAGAGAGAGTAAATCAGAGAGAAGAGAAAGATGTGAAGAAGTAAGAGAGAGTAAATCTGAGGGAGGAGAAAGATGTGAAGAAATAAGAGAGAGTAAATCAGAGAGAGGAGAAAGATGTGAAGAAGTAAGAGAGAGTAAATCTGAGGGAGGAGAAAGATGTGAAGAAGTAAGAGAGAGTAAATCTGAGAGAAGAGAAAGATGTGAAGAAGTAAGAGAGAGGAAATCTGAGGGAGGAAAAAGATGTGAAGAAGTAAGAGAGAGTAAATCTGAGGGAGGAGAAAGATGTGAAGAAGTAAGAGAGAGGAAATCTGAGGGAGGAGAAAGATGTGAAGAAATAAGAGAGAGTAAATCTGAGAGAAGAGAAAGATGTGAAGAAGTAAGAGAGAGTAAATCTGAGAGAAGAGAAAGATGTGAAGAAGTAAGAGAGAGGAAATCTGAGGGAGGAGAAAGATGTGAAGAAGTAAGAGAGAGGAAATCTGAGAGAAGAGAAAGATGTGAAAAAGTAAGAGAGAGTAAATCTGAGAGAAGAGAAAGATGAAGAAGTAAGGAGAGTAAATGAGAGAAAGAGAAAGATGTGAAGAAGTAAGAGAGAGGAAATTTGAGGGAGGAGAAAGGTTGAAGAATAAGAGAGTAAATCTGAGAGAAGAGAAAGATGTGAAGAAGTAAGAGAGTAAAATCTGAGAGAAGAGAAAGATGAAGAAGTAAGAGAGAGTAAATCTGAGAGAAGAGAAAGATGTGAAGAAGTAAGAGAGAGGAAATCTGAGGGAGGAGAAAGATGAAGATGTAAGAGAGTAAAATCTGAGAGAAAGAAAGATGTGAAGAAGTAAGAGAGAGTAAATCTGAGAGAAGAGAAAGAAGTGAAGAAATAAGAGAGAGTAAATCAGAGAGAGGAGAAAGATGAAGAAGTAAGAGAGAGTAAATCTGGAGAGAAGAGAAAGATGTGAAGAAGTAAGAGAGAGGAAATCTGAGGGAGGAAAAGATGAAGAAGTAAGAGAGAGTAAATCTGAGGAGGAGAAAGATGAAGAAGTAAGAGAGAGGAAATCTCAGAGAAGAGAAAGATGAAAAAGTAAGAGAGAGTAAATCTGAGAGAAGAGAAAGATGAAGAAGTAAGGAGAGTAAATCTGAGAGAAGAGAAAGATGTGAAGAAGTAAGAGAGAGGAAATCTGAGGGAGGAGAAAGGTGTGAAGAAGTAAGAGAGAGTAAATCTGAGAGAAGAGAAAGATGTGAAGAAGTAAGAGAGAGTAAATCTGAGAGAAGAGAAAGATGTGAAGAAGTAAGAGAGAGTAAATCTGAGAGAAGAGAAAGATGTGAAGAAGTAAGAGAGAGGAAATCTGAGGGAGGAGAAAGATGTGAAGATGTAAGAGAGAGGAAATCTGAGAGAGGAGAAAGATGTGAAGAAGTAAGAGAGAGTAAATCTGAGAGAAAGAAAGATGTGAAGAAGTAAGAGAGAGTAAATCTGAGAGAAGAGAAAGAAGTGAAGAAATAAGAGAGAGTAAATCAGAGAGAGGAGAAAGATGTGAAGAAGTAAGAAAGAGTAAATCTGAGAGAAGAGAAACATGTGAAGAAGTAAGAGAGAGTAAATCTGAGAGAAGAGGAAGATGTGAAGAAGTAAGAGAGAGGAAATCTGAGGGAGGAGAAAGATGTGAAGAAGTAAGAGAGAGGAAATCTCAGAGAAGAGAAAGATGTGAAGAAGTAAGAGAGAGTAAATCTGAGAGAAGAGAAAGATGTGAAGAAGTAAGAGAGAGGAAATCTGTGGGAGGAGAAAGATGTGAAGAATAAGAGAGAGGAAATCTGAGGGAGGAGAAAGATGTGAAGAAGTAAGAGAGAGTAAATCTCAGTGAAGAGAAAGATGTGAAGAAGTAAGAGAGAGTAAATCTGAGAGAAGAGAAAGATGTGAAGAAGTAAGAGAGAGGAAATCTGAGGGAGGAGAAAGATGTGAAGAAGTAAGAGAGAGGAAATCTGAGGGAGGAGAAAGATGTGAAGAAGTAAGAGAGAGTAAATCTGGGAGAGGAGAAAGATGTGAAAAAGTAAGAGAGAGTAAATCAGAGAGAGGAGAAAGATGTGAAGAAGTAAGAGAGAGTAAATCTGGGAGAGGAGAAAGATGTGAAAAAGTAAGAGAGAGTAAATCAGAGAAAGGAGAAAGATGTGAAGAAGTAAGAGAGAGTAAATCTGGGAGAGGAGAAAGATGTGAAGAAGTAAGAGAGAGGAAATCTGAGGGAGGAGAAAGATGTGAAGAAGTAAGAGATAGTAAATCTGAGAGAAGAGAAAGATGTGAAGAAGTAAGAGAGAGGAAATCTGAGGGAGGAGAAAGATGTGAAGAAGTAAGAGAGAGTAAATAAGCGAGAAGAGAAAGATGTGAAGAAGTAAGAGAGAGTAAATCTGTGGAAGGAGAAAGATGTGAAGAAATAAGAGAGAGGAAATCTGAGGGAGGAGAAAGATGTGAAGAAGTAAGAGAGAGGAAATCTGAGGGAGGAGAAAGATGAAGAAGTAAGAGAGATTAAATCAGAGAGAGAGAAAATGAAGAAGTAAGAGAGGAGGAAGGAGAAAGATGAAGAAGTAAGAGAGAGTAAATCAGAGAGAAGAGAATGATGTGAAGAAGTAAGAGAGAGTAAATCTGAGGGAGGAAAAAAAATGTGAAGAAGTAAGAGAGAGTAAATCAGAGAGAAGAGAAAGATGTGAAGAAATAAGAGAGAGTAAATCAGAGAGAGGAGAAAGATGTAAAAGAAGTAAGAGAGAGTAAATCTGAGGAGGAGAAAGATGAAGAAGTAAGAGAGAGGAAATCAGAGAGAAGAGAAAGATGTGAAGAAAAGAGAGAGTAAATCTGAGGGAGGAGAAAATGTGAAGAAGTAAGAGAGAGTAAATCAGAGAGAAAGAAAAGATGTGAAGAAATAAGAGAGAGTAAATCAGAGAGGAGAAAGATGTGGAAGATGTAAGAGAGAGGAAATCTGAGGGAGGAGAAAGATGTGAAGAAGTAAGAGAGAAAATCAGAGAGAAGAGAAAGATGTGAAGAAGTAAGAGAGAGTAAATCTGAGAGAAGAGAAAGATGTGAAGAAGTAAGAGAGAGTAAATCAGAGAGAGGAGAAAGATGTGAAGAAGTAAGAGAGAGTAAATCTGAGGGAGGAGAAAGATGTGAAGAAGTAAGAGAGAGTAAATCAGAGAGAAGAGAAAGATGTGAAGAAGTAAGAGAGAGTAAATCTGAGGGAGGAGAAAAATGTGAAGAAGTAAGAGAGAGTAAATCAGAGAGAAGAGAAAGCTGTGAAGAAATAAGTGAGAGTAAATCAGAGAGAGGAGAAAGATGTGAAGAAGTAAGAGAGAGTAAATCAGAGAGAGGAGAAAGATGTGAAGAAGTAAGAGAGAGGAAATCTGAGGGAGGAGAAAGATGTGAAGAAGTAAGAGAGAGGAAATCTGAGGGAGGAGTAAGATGTGAAGAAGTAAGAGAGATTAAATCAGAGAGAGGAGAAAGATGTGAAGAAGTAAGAGAGAGGAAATCTGAGGAAGGAGAAAGATGTGAAGAAGTAAGAGAGAGTAAATCAGAGAGAAGAGAATGATGTGAAGAAGTAAGAGAGAGTAAATCTGAGGGAGGAAAAAAATGTGAAGAAGTAAGAGAGAGTAAATCAGAGAGAAGAGAAAGATGTGAAGAAATAAGAGAGAGTAAATCAGAGAGAGGAGAAAGATGTAAAGAAGTAAGAGAGAGTAAATCTGAGGGAGGAGAAAGATGTGAAGAAGTAAGAGAGAGGAAATCAGAGAGAAGAGAAAGATGTGAAGAAGTAAGAGAGAGTAAATCTGAGGGAGGAGAAAAATGTGAAGAAGTAAGAGAGAGTAAATCAGAGAGAAGAGAAAGATGTGAAGAAATAAGAGAGAGTAAATCAGAGAGAGGAGAAAGATGTGAAGATGTAAGAGAGAGGAAATCTGAGGGAGGAGAAAGATGTGAAGAAGTAAGAGAGAGTAAATCAGAGAGAAGAGAAAGATGTGAAGAAGTAAGAGAGAGTAAATCTGAGAGAAGAGAAAGATGTGAAGAAGTAAGAGAGAGTAAATCAGAGAGAGGAGAAAGATGAAGAAGAAGAGAGAGAGTAAATCTGAGGGAGGAGAAAGATGTGAAGAAGTAAGAGAGAGTAAATCAGAGAGAAGAGAAAGATGTGAAGAAGTAAGAGAGAGTAAATCTGAGGGGAGGAGAAAATGTGAAGAAGTAAGAGAGAGTAAATCAGAGAGAAGAGAAAGCTGTGAAGAAATAAGTGAGAGTAAATCAGAGAGAGAGGAGAAAGATGAAGAAGTAAGAGAGAGTAAATCAGAGAGAGGAGAAAGATGTGAAGAAGTAAGAGAGAGGAAATCTGAGGGAGGAGAAAGATGTGAAGAAGTAAGAGAGAGTAAATCTGGGAGAGGAGAAAGTTGTGAAGAAGTAAGAGAGAGTAAATCTGAGGGAGGAGAAAGATTTGAAAAAGTAAGAGAGAGTAAATCAGAGAGAGGAGAAAAATGTGAAGAAGTAAGAGAGAGTAAATCTGGGAGAGGAGAAAGATGTGAAAAAGTAAGAGAGAGTAAATCAGAGAGAGGAGAAAGATGTGAAGAAGTAAGAGAGAGTAAATCTGGGAGAGGAGAAAGATGTGAAGAAATAAGAGAGAGTAAATCTGAGAGAAGAGAAAGATGTGAAGAAGTAAGAGAGAGGAAATCTGAGGGAGGAGAAAGATGTGAAGAAGTAAGAGAGAGTAAATCAGAGAGAGGACACAAAAGTGAAGAAGTAAGAGAGAGTAAATCTGAGGGAGGAGAAAGATGTGAAGAAGTAAGAGAGAGGAAATCTGAGGGAGGAGAAAGATGTGAAGAAATAAGAGAGAGTAAATCTGAGAGAAGAGAAAAATGTGAAGAAGTAGGAGAGTAAATCTGAGGGAGGAGAAAGATGTGAAGAAGTAAGAGAGAGTAAATCTGAGGGAGGAGAAAGATGTGAAGAAGTAAGAGATAGTAAATCAGAGAGAGGAGAAAAATGTGAAGAAGTAAGAGAGAGTAAATCTGAGGGAGGAGAAAGATGTGAAGAAGTAAGAGAAAGGAAATCTGAGGGAGGAGAAAGATGTGAAGAAATAAGAGAGAGTAAATCTGGGAGAGGAGAAAGATGTGAAAAAGTAAGAGAGAGTAAATCAGAGAGAGGAGAAAGATGGGAAGATGTAAGAGAGTAAATCTGAGAGAGGAGAAAGATGTGAAGAATTAAGAGAGAGTGAGTCTGAGGGAGAAGAAAGATGTGAAGAAATAAGATGGAAGAGAAAGATGTGAAAAAGTAAGAGAGAGTAAATCAGAGAGAGGAGAAAGATGGGAAGAAGTAAGAGAGAGTAAATCTGAGAGAGGAGAAAGATGTGAAGAAGTAAGAGAGAGTAAATCTGAGAGAAGCGAAAGATGTGAAGAAGTAAGAGGGAGTAAATCTGGTAGAGGAGAAAGATGTGAAAAAATAAGAGAGAGTAAATCTGAGAGAAGAGAAAAATGTGAAGAAGTAAGAGAGAGTAAATCTGAGGGAGGAGAAAGATGTGAAGAAGTAAGAGAGAGAAAATCTGAGGGAGGAGAAATATGTGAAGAAATAAGAGAGAGTAAATCTGGGAGAGGAGAAAGATGTGAAGAAGTAAGAGAGAGTAAATCTGAGAGAAGCGAAAGATGTGAAGAAGTAAGAGGGAGTAAATCTGAGGGAGGAGAAAGATGTGAAGACGTAAGAGAGAGTAAATCTGAGGGAGGAGAAAGATGTGAAGAAGTAAGAGGGGGTAAATCTGAGGGAGGAGAAAGATGTGAAGTAAGAGAGAGTAAATCTGAGAGAGGAGAAAGATGTGAAGAAGTAAGAGAGAGGAAATCTGAGAGAAGAGAAAGATGTGAAGAAGTAAGAGAGAGTGAGTCTGAGGGAGAAGAAAGATGTGAAGAAATAAGATGGAAGAGAAAGATGTGAAGAAGTAAGGGGAGTATAAACCTATTCTAATACTTTCTTTTCTTTCTTTTCTCCCTTCTAGAACTACCTTCGTAGCTACAACATTTAAAGAATTAAATGCAACATCAATCGCCATCTCCTTTCGCCCTGAATCTTCTTCTTTTCTTGTTCTCTATCCTAACTAAAGTCTTTTTCATTCTCTTCCACTCCTAGTAAACCCTTGCGTCTTAGTGGCATTCTCGCCTTGCTTGCAGATGAATACATGAAGAACATGAGTTTATTCTGCTGTAACAAAGAGGCTAAAATTAACGTCAACAGATCATAATGAGTTGGTATTTAATAGTAATGCTAACAATGCTAGACATCTTACTCTTTGAAAGTTAAAAAATGAATTTTCCGCGGGGAAAGGTCAACATTTTTTAAAATTTGAGCAAAAAATAGTTTTGGGAATCACGATATTAAATGATTTTTTTTTTATTTTTAAAGTGAAGAAACACACACACACACACACACACACACACACACATATATATATATATATATATATATATGTGTGTGTGTTTATAGGGATGTGTGTGTGTGTGTGTATATATATATATATATATATATTTTTGTTTGCTTTACTTTCTTTTCCTTCATTTTGGATGATTTCTTTTTTTACAGTTTCTCATTTCGCTTCATTTTAGCCTTTTCCCTCTTCGAATATAGTGATTTTCTAAGCCCGGCTTAGATGTGGCACAAGGCCGAAAGTATGGGGTACCCAGTGAGGATCGAAATCACTACTCAGTCGTAACTGATCTAGGAAGACAAGCTTTACTAACCATTACACTACGTCGAGGTGCCCACGAGATTTTCCAAGCGTAGCTTAGATGTGGCACAAGGCCGAAAGTATGGGGCATCCAGTGAGGATGGAACTCACTTTTCAGTAGTAACTGATCTCGCACGCCAAGCTTGTTAATCATTACACCACGCCGAGGTGCTCTCCTCTTAGAATATAATTGCTCTTACATGTTTCTTTGTCCTCTCTGTCTCTTGGAATTTTCTCGTCTTTCTTATAAGCTTCTTCATTTCTCTCTTAGTTATGGTCTCTCTCACTCTCTCTCTCTCTCTCTCTCTCCCTCTCCCGCTTTCTTCTTTTTTCTTTCTCTTTCTCTTTTCCTACGAGTTGCCACCCTCTCAGATATGCTCTATCATTCTTTTATCTAACCGTTCTCTCTTTCTTTCTGTCTTCATCAAAGGTTTTCTCTCTCAGATTTCCTTTATTCTTTCTTCCTCTCCTACCAACGGATATCTCCTCCCCCCCCACTCACGTTTATTATTTTCTTCTGTCTTTTTCGCTCGTTTCAACTCTTTTTTTCTATCCCTGATTTGCCTTCTCAACCTTTCTCGCGACGAAGAAGAGACTTGAAGCAACGTGATTGCGGTTCTACAGAAGGATGCTGAGAATGCCAATGACTGAACATGTGAGCAGCGTCAGAGTTCTAGTGATAATCGGAAGCGGGTCACTTATACATCATATGAGGACAGCTGAAATATATCTATGGTGCATAACGAAGAAAGTGGGGTGATACAGCTTAGAGCGAGGAGACAGAGGAAAACAACGCAGAACCTCCCTAGCGAGCTTAAGATGGCTGATCAGTGTTTGAGAGAGACGGCGAAAAGACAAAATTTATTGAGGGTTACAAATGACAGGAAGTTGTCGCGTACCATTATAGCCAAGGTCTCGAAGAAACATGGCACATATTTGAAATTAAAGTGCTCAATATCAAAGGCAGAGCATTAATAATAATAAACAAAGTGAAATGTTCATTTATCTCTATTTTATCGTGGATGTAAACACAGCAAAATATAGTGCAGGATGAGATAAGTGAACATTTATTTTTATAGCACAGTCAAAAAAGTCAGCTAAAAAAGTCCGTGGGTAATTAACCAAAATAGATCCAATTAATATAAAATATTAAAACTGACCCACAAAAGAGAGCTCAATATAATTTTTATTATGGAGTATATAAGTAAATTACAATTAATATGATCCAAACAATTTACCTCATGCAGATGATCATTTCGATCATGGGAAAGTAGTTTTTTCCCTACACGTATCAATGCAAATACATTTACTAAAATGAATGAGTTCCCACGTTTCTTCACGGGAAACTTGAAAGGCAAAGGAAGGAAAGAAGAAAAAAAGAAAAAGGAAAGCATAAAAAGAGAAGGAAGTAAGAAATTGTTCTATAAATGAGGGGGGTATATAGAAACAGCGGTAGTGATGGAGTTGGTACAGATAAACGCGACGGTTTAAAATGGACACTGTCCTAAATGTAACCTATCAACACCTGCAAGGAAGAAGAATGAACACAAAAGAGAGGACTTTAATAGATTATAGCATGGGAGTATGAATTTAAATTTAGTAGTGAATATGTTAGGGTAGGGCTGATCATAGAACATATTCGCTCGCAAGTTGTTTTTTAATGATTGGGGTTAGCCTTTAAGCCTAATAATAATAATAAATATATATATATATATATATATATATATATATATATATATATGGACAATTTAGTTCATGCCACATTGACTGATAAACTCCTACAAAAAAAAATTATCCATTCTCCAGAGTGCCTGATATAATAACGAGATGAAAAAACAGCTGCGCTTAAAATTATAGGCAACAAAAGTGCTCAATACAAAATTAAAAATGGAATATGTAGAGCAAAGGACTGGGATAATGTCAGGGTGCAGGCATTTAAGTAATTTTTTTTTTAGGTACATATGTCCTGATGAGCGAAATGAAATAATAATAATTTTTCCTCCTCCTCAGTTACAATTTTTTCCCCTTTTCGTCTATCCCCAACCATCATTTTTTACCCTCCAAAACTTCCGGTGTTCTGGTATATTGAATAGTTTTATTGGCTTGTATATCTTTACACTTGCCTGAGAAGACCTTTCAATGTTATACTATATATATATATATATATATATATATATATATATATATATATATATATATATATATATTACACTTGCCTGTACAAGGTCCGGGAGTCAATGAAGGTAGAGTTTTACGCTAGGGTTAGTTTATATGAATAGGAGGGGAAGATAACGAAACACCTAGACTTGAACAGGTTAAGATTATGCCCATGGGGGAAACATCCTCCTGGGAGTCTGTTCCACAGGGCAGTGGTTCGCGGAAGAAGCTGTTTCCGCCGATGGAATACAGAGGGAATGTGGTTTGCTAAATGTAAGTGGCAATGCGGGTCCTAGCTGTTAAGGTTAGACCTGCTGAATCCAGGAGATGCAGTTCATCGAAGCACTTTCCAAAAGTAGCGACAGAGCAGTGAGAGACTCGCCACAAAATTATTGGAGAGAGAGAGTTTGAGGGTGGAAAATAATTCTCTCCAACAAGGACAGGCCTGACGACTGCGCTCAAGCATGAAACAGTCTGTCGCCCTGAGTGTTAATTTCAATGTTCATTTATATATATATATATATATATATATATATATATATATATATGATACACTTGCCTGAGGATACCTTACGGTCGAAACACGGCTTGCGAGATTGCTTGGCATAAAAAATAAATAAAAAATTCAACTTTAGCGTTGTGACTGCACTCTGCAAAACTTTGATTCCGTTAACAATAACACATTTACAAAAAAAAAAAATACATATTTCGATTCGCATTTAATCTTTCGTCTCTCATGCTACCTGGATTTTACTAAAAACAAAATAATTCCCATACCTGAGGATGACTGTGTGTACAGTAGAAAGTATTTGCAGATTAAAAAAAAGACCGTATATAGCTTATAATTATTGAAAACAAGGATCATAACATTCATCAAGTGATTTGTAGGTTAATGCAACTTTAAAATTTTGTTTGCGAAAGGATTTATCCATTTTATATCAGTAACTTTACTTATCTACTTTTTGTATGAATGATTCATTCTAACATAGAGAAAAAAATAAACCTTCATATATTAAAGGTGATCTACATTAAAATGAAGCAACCCACACAAAATTACATTTAAATCTATTTCACAACACATTACATTTCATGTAGACATATGGTTCTGTTGTTAATATTTTTTTCGTGGTATATATATATATATATATATATATATATATATATATATATATATATATATATATATATGTGTGTGTGTTAATCTATATTTGGGCAGCAACTGTTCTTTTGAACATCTTTAAAATATGACGTACAATGAGAGTGACGTGTTGGGAGTCATTTAAAAAGAAAATGAAAAGGAAAGCGCCCGCTCGAATTCCAGCGATGCCCAACACACGACGGCTCGTATTTAATACTCTTGCTAGAATTTAAAAAAAAAAAAAAAAAAACACAAAAATAATACATCTCACTCAGAAACTTGAAAAGAAACTAACAACATAAAAAAACGCTTGAAAATGACTAAAGAAGTGGCCAAAAGCGCTTGGGCCAATGAAACATATGGACAATTTTTGTACCCTAACCAACCGGAAAAACGAAAGAACGATGGAAAAACTAAATAAAAATTTAACAATATTATATATATATATATATATGAATAAAAAGAGTCAAAATGGAAAAAAATTACTTAACTGACGCATGAGTCAACTGAGGGACTTCATCAAAGAAGTTGACGAAATGCGTCCGCTACGTAAACATAGTTTTCCTTCTGGTCTCATTTCATTCATTTGAGGAAGATTTATATATATATATATATATATATATATATATATATATATATATATATATTTCGGAGATGTGATATTATGTACACTATTTACATAATTCGGACTATTGCGCTCACCTTTTTCGACATATTTATTACAACGTTTCGGCCTTTCAGTATCTTTCTCATTTCTGAGATGAGGTATTAAAATAATTATTTACATTATTCGACTATTGTCCTCATCTTTGTCGCCATATTTTTACAACGTTTCGGCCTTTCTATTTTATCTGTCTACATTTTGAGATGAGATACTGTACAATTATTTATTTTATTCGGACTATTGCCCTCAAGGGACATATTTATTACAACGTTTCGGCCCTTTCTTCAGATGGTTTGAATGTCGAACTGAAATGAAATTTTCATTTTTTTTGTCTTGATTTGATCATAACCAACATTTTCTTTATCCGCTTGTGCTATGTGTCCTTTGAGGACAATCAATGACACATGGCACCATGGATAAACGCGTTGGTTAGGATCCAGTGACAGGACCCAAAGAGTGTGAGTTCAATACCCGGTTAAGGCAGTGGAGAACTTTCAGAGGGGGAATTAACAGGAGATAACTGATAACTGACATCCATTAAACATGGCACGTGGATTCGGGAACAGTCTACCCAAGTGAGCGAAATAAAGGGTTCAGTTTGACATTGAACCACCTGAAGGAGGCCGGAGCGTACAATGGCAGAAACGTTGTAATAAATATGGCGACAATGATGAGCAACAATAGTCCGAATAATGTAAAAATAAACAACACACATATATATATATATATATATATATATATATATATATATATATATATATATATATATATATATATATATAGTTCTTTTGGGTGTGTCCGTATTTGTGCGTATGTGTGTGTAGCAAGTACTAGATCATCGACAATAATTTTATGTTCAGATTCTTATAGTTTACCTTTCCTTACTGGATCTTCTATTATCACAATCCTCTCTAAAGCGAAAGGCATTAGACATAATAATTTCCATTTTGTCAATCGTTTACCTCACATTTTACCCATCTATCTAGAATTATATGTTTTAAAATTAGGATAATATACCCCGATTAAGATTTGTTTAGAAATTATCGAATAGAATTATATATATATATATATATATATATATATATATATATAATGAAAACAGACAACTTTAAGGGTCCATGGTTATAATTTATTTCCCAAGGAATTCGTTTTCCTGGCTCATCAGCTGGTATCAAATATGGATCAAATATGGATCAGAATCCGACAGCAACCATTTTGACCAGTTTTCATATTGGAATATTTTTTCTGTTATATCATGATTTTACCCGAGTTCATATTGCAACTTTTCTTGTTATTATCGCTTATCTCTGGCACTCCTTATTACTGGTTCCCATATGGTATTCATTTCTATGCCTGGTCGGCTCAGGAGATTTTTGTGGCCTAGAATATGTGCTGATTCCTTAAGTTTACGAATTTTCCAATGGTGTTCCTTGTCTATGATCTCAACGTATGTCGACAAAGATAAGGACAATAGTCCGAATAATGTAAATAATGGACATAATACCTAATCTTAGAAATATAGACACACACACACACACACACACACACACATACATACATATATATATATATATATATATATATATATGTATATGTATGTATTATGATTATTTTTAAAAAAAATATGATTCCTTCGTTACATAAGAGTTTTCATGTTTCAAAAACAGGATTCAAAAACCTTCAATATAATTATTAAAATTAAACTTCAAGAGAAATTTTTGGAATCTGGTTTTGGTTCCAAAATGTTTTAGGACGCAATTTTCCCATACATAAGCAAACGCTAAGACAAAATATGTGTAGACCGAAAGATGACAGTTTGAAATTGTTGAAAGTACTCGGCATATGTTTTCCACCAGACATCTATTCGAATATAAGGATCTTATTATTCAAGGAATTGATAGTAAGTTAATGTCTCATTAAGTTCTGTTAGCGAAGTGATTTTGCCATTAATCACATTACCACTCCTATTTAATTCTTTGCATAAATTGTTTCTTTATGATATAAATTATAAGCTGCCCTTTCTAATATATATACATACATATATAGATATAATAATCTGGCAATCAAAGCATTTTCTAAACACTTTCACATTGGTAAATTGCTTTAAAAAATGTCAGATTTCAGAGTTCCAAGATCTATTCTCACCATCCTTCTTTAGAAGCATATTTTTTTGTCTCGTCGCCTCGTCATCTGGTATATAGGAGGAGTGATATTACATAAAACTTCGGCGCTCTTTTTCTTTGTTTTTAACGAACATTTTCTTATTCTTAATACCTTTCTGAGCTTTTGGAAGGCATTTTGCTATTCCAGTTTCTCTGTATCATTATCCATTCTCTGTAAGAAAAGAATCCTAAATATTTCAATTTCTTTACGTTCCTGATTATGGTGTCACCAATATATCGCTCGTATCAAAGACGGTTCATTTTTCTGACAACCGTACATTCTATCTCCTTACAATGGATGCTGTCTTTTATCAACCAAATTAGATATATATGAAGAGACTAGGATACATAGATAGATAGATAGTATCTGTCTAGATTTCTGAGATGAGATATTAGGTACACTATTTACATTGTTAGGACTATCATCCTCATCTTTGTCGCCATATTTATCACAGCGTTTCGTCCGTTATATGCTCTAACCTTCTTCAGGTGTTGGAATGTCGAACGAAACCCTTTATTTCGCTCGCAGGAGTAGACAGTTCTTGTTCTACGTGTCATGTCTAATGGATGTCAGTTATCAGTTATCTCCTGTTAAGTCCCCTCTCCAAGTTCTCCACCGATAGATAGAAAACAAAATATGAAATGATATATATATATATATATATATATATATATATATATATATCTTCATTTCTGTAGTTCATTACTACCAGCAAACAGAGAATTATTTTTCTCCTGATGATGGCCATGTTGGCCGAAACTAGTCGAGGAATCTAAATGAAATAATAATAAAAACGAATGAAAATTAATATACAACCCAATGTGTCTGAAAATTTTAATTTTTAATATTTCCATTGTTCAATATATATATATATATATATATATATATATATATATATATATATATATATATATATATATATATATATATATATATATATATATATATATATATATATATATATATATATATATATATATATATATATATATATATATATATATATATATATATATATATATATATATATATATAAAAAATCCAAAATATATACATATGGGGAATAAGTTTATTTTGGGGAAGCTTTGAAATATATATATATATATATATATATATATATATAGATAGATAGATAGATAGATAGATAGATAGATAGATAGATAGATATTAAGTGATTGAAGCAGATCAATAGAGATAATGAAAAACTGAAATGAGAGAGAAAGAGAGAATCAGATATGAAGAAACTAATTAGATAGATAGATAGATAGATAGATAGATAGATAGATAGATAGATAGATAGATAGATAGATAGATAGTGAGCAGGCTGAGATAGATAGTGAACAGTCTTAGATAGATATATAGATAATGAAGAGAGACAGATCAATAGACAGATAAACAGTCTGAAATCATAGAGATAGAGAGAGAGAGACAGAGAAAGAAAGAGAGGTGAAAAAACAGAGGTAAATATTAATGGATTGAGATAGATAGATAGATAGATAGATAGATAGATAGATAGATAGATAGATAATGAAGTGTCTATTTACATGTATGTGGATACAGGTGAAAGAGAGCCAGTGGTATTGCGAAGAGAGATTTTGCAACGAAAAGAACGGAAAGCTGAGATTGGCAGTTTGTTAACGTCAAAAGACAAAATAAAATTTTCAAGTCAACGAATAAATGTAAAAGATAAAAGCGGGCAAACATAAATTTGAGCAAAATGCATTTACGTCGTAAATAATAATTTTTTTTTTTTCACCTGCATAATTTTGCCAAAGCCGACTGCTAGTAAATGACGAATGTGACACAGGATGACGACATTGGAAGAGTGAGTTATGTCTCAGCAGGCCGCCGTTGCCACAGGTCTGAAGTGAAGGCAATTCTTTAAAGAAGTAGAAAAACTGGCCGGGGATTTTCAAGGTATAATTGCAAGCGTAAATAACAGTATTCGAAGGGCGCCATTTTGTTTTATGATTAGATTTTTTTCCTCCCCTTCTGACGAATTGCTCTGTTTTCAATTTGAATTTGAAGGAAGATTTTAATGCGGAGTATAAAGTGCGCATTATATACATATATATATATATATATATATATATATATATATATATAGGGGCTGTATGAGTGTATGTGGCTGCGTTTATGCCTATATGTATATACGTATCCATATATACAGATATGCATATATGTGTAATACTACGTTTACATATACACGTGCATTTATCTGCGTGTGCGGGAGCACACTAATACACACTCACAAACACACACACACACACATATATATATATAAATATATATATATATATATATATATCTCAAGAACAAAATTGCGTATTTAATTTAGCGTGGATCAGAAGACCCTTTACAAATATAATCATAAATCCATTTATCCTTCTCTCACTCTTTTCTCCATATATATATATATATATATATATATATATATATATATATATATATATATATACATGCATACATATATATATATATGTATGTATATTAGCATATATACTGATATATATGAGCACATAATTATATATTATATATATATATATATATATATATATATATATATATATATATATATATATATATGTATGTATGTATGTATCCTGTACGTAAAAATATACATAGAGGAGATAATTTTTCAAATCATTTTAATAATAAGAACTCGGACGTCAAGAAATTTTGAAATACTTACAGTTATAAAGAAATTTATACTATATATATATATATATATATATATATATATATATATATATATATATATATATATATATATATATGCATATGTATGTATGTATGTATGTATATTCCTATGTTTGTCGTTTCATAAAGAGAACAAGTAATATATGTCTCCAACCATCAAACAGCTTACAATTAAGAATCAATAAAAATGCTTCCAGTGTCTCTTATTGTGTAGTGTCATTTATTTGTTTGTCTGTTTGTTTTTCCTTTTTACAAAAAGAAAAAGGGGGATATTTTCCGAATATTGAAGCGAAGCAGAAAACTGATAACAATATATAACGTTCTGTTTTCCATTCGATGATGAAGTTTTGGCTGAAATTCATAATCGTGGGCTGCTTCTTGATGTTTGAACTCCAAGGCATCAGCCTTTGAAATTAAAACGCTTCTCCATTGTTTTACAGCGAAGAAAGATTATTCTTCTTTGAAAAAAAAAGATGTAAAGGAAGAGGTTACCAAATAAAAGGCAATAACACTTGAAGAAGAAGGTGATAAAGAAGAAAAGGTAATCGGATGTGAAATGAGGAGGAGGAGGAGGTGGAAGATGAAGAAAAGTATAGGGAAGCTTAATAATCCAGATAGAGAAGATGGAAGTAAAAGCCAGGGGGAAAGCAATAAGGGGTAATAACATATCTGATTATGGGAAGAAGAAGAAGAAGAAGAAGAAGAAGAAGAAGAAGAAGAAGAAGAAGAAGAAGAAGAAGAAGACATTGAAAAAGAAAGTATGCAGAATGAATTGAGAAAGAAAAAAGACAGAAAGAAGGATATATTAACAAAGAAAAAAGGAAGAAGAACATATTAACAGAGAAAGAAAGAAGGACGTATTAAGAAAGAAAGAAAGAAAGAAAGAAAGAAAGAAAGAAGGACGTATTAAGAAAGAAAGAAAGAAAGAAAGAAGGACGTATTAAGAAAGAAAGAAAGAAAGAAAGAAAGAAAGAAAAGAAGGACGTATTAAGAAAGAAAGAAAGAAAGAAAGAAAGAAGGAGATATTAAGAAAGAAATAATGAAGGACATATTAAGAAATAAAGAAAGAAAGAAAGGAGGACATATTAAGAAAGAAAGAAAGAAAGAAAGAAAGAAAGAAAGAAAGAAAGAAAGAAGGGGATATTAAGAGAGAAAGAATGAAATGCATATTAAGAAAGAAAGAAAGAAAGAAAGAAGGACGTATTAAGAAAGAAAGAAAGAAAGAAAGAAAGAAAGAAAGAAAGAAGGAGATATTAAGAAAGAAATAATGAAGGACATATTAAGAAATAAAGAAAGAAAGAAAGGAGGACATATTAAGAAAGAAAGAAAGAAAGAAAGAAAAAAGGGGATATAAAGAGAGAAAGAATGAAATGCATATTAAGAAAGAAAGAAAGAAAGAAGGACGTATTAAGAAAGAAAGAAAGAAAGAAAGAAAGAAAGAAGGAGATATTAAGAAAGAAATAATGAAGGACATATTAAGAAATAAATAAAGAAAGAAAGGAGGACATATTAAGAAAGAAAGAAAGAAAGAAAGAAAGAAAGAAAGAAAGAAAAAAGGGGATATTAAGAGAGAAAGAATGAAATGCATATTAAGAAAGAAAGAAGGACGTATTAAGAAAGAAAGAAAGAAAGAAAGAAAGAAGGAGATATTAAGAAAGAAATAATAAAGGACATATTAAGAAATAAATAAAGAAAGAAAGGAGGACATATTAAGAAAGAAAGAAAGAAAGAAAGAAAAAAGGGGATATTAAGAGAGAAAGAATGAAATGCATATTAAGAAAGAAAGAAAGAAGATATTAAGAAAGAAAGAAAGAAAGAAAAAGAAAGAAAGAAAGAAGGACATATTAAGAAAGAAAGAAAGAAAGAAAAAGAAAGAAAGAAAGAAAGAAAGAAAGGACATATTAAGAATTAAATAATGAAATAAAAATGAAGAATACATTGAAAAGAAAAAAAATCATATTAAGAAAGGTAGAAAGTAGCCAGAGCACATGAAGAAAGAAAGAAGGAAACAAACAAACAAATAAACAAAGAAACAAAATAAACACACAAACAAAGAAAAGACAAAATGACTGACAATATATAAAATGTAAAACTTTCATTCTGAGGCGAGGGAATCAAAACAAAAATTCAAAGAATAACAAAATGGAAAAAATATAAATTCAAAGAATTGCAAAATATAAATTGAGGTCAAAGCATTGACAGACCTTTTCCCTAAGGAAAGTCTTCACTGAGCGGCAATTTTGGTTGTGGCATTTAGGTGAATTAGTATAATCAAGTAGCATTCAAAATTAGTTGATCCATTTTTCCCGCCATTCTACTCCCACCATTTTTACCTAAACTCACTTTAGGTTTAAGTAATACACGAAACAATTACTTGACGATTGCACTATGAGTCACTTCATGTTAGAGGATTTTTCATAGAACCTATATTTTTAATACACTTACATTTATTAAGAAATGTTATTTACCAACAAAACAAGAGGTAATTATATTTAAATAAGTTTTTTTAGGTTATACTGTTGTTGTGTTTTTGGTGGGGGATTTATTTTTTCAATTTTTTTTTTTTACCTTTTTGCAAATGTTGCCCAGAATGAAAAAAAAGAAGAAGAAAATGATTACATTCTTCAGATGAGATCGAACCGAAATGGTGCTGAAAGTGAAGAAGAAGAAGAAGAAGAAGAAGAAGAAAGAAATAAAAAAGAAAAGGATTTGAAGAGAAAAGAAGATTTAAAAAATCCTCCGTCGAAAGAAAAAAAAAGAAAAGAAATTGAAAGCTAGAATAATCAAAGCAGAACATAGAAAGAAAGGCAGAAAGAAACAAACAAGGTAGAACATATTAAAAAAGAAAGAAAGAAAGCAGACTTAATATATTAAGAAAGAAAGAAAGAAAGAAAGAAAGAAAGAAAGAAAGAAAGAAAGAAAGAGTGCAGAATGCATGGAAAAAGAAATTAAAAAATGCAGAACAAAGAAAGAGAAAGGAAAAAAAAAAAAAAAAAGAACATAAAAAAAAGAAAGAAAGAAAGCAGACTTAATATATTAAGAAAGAAAGAAAGAAAGAAAGAAAGAAAAGAGTATAAGAATGCATTTCTGTCTTTAAAAAATAATCAAAGCAGAACATAGAAAGAAAACAGAAAGAAACAAAAAAGGTGAACATATTAAAAAAAGAAAGAAAGAAAAGACTTAATTTATTAAGAAAGAAAGAAAAGAAAAGAAAAGAAAAAAAGAAAGAAAAGAAAGAAGTTGAAGAAGCATGGAAAAAAGAAAAAGAAATTAAGAAATAATAAGCAGAACATGGAAAGAAAGGCAGAAAAGAAACAAACAAGTAGAAAATATTAAAAAGAAAGATTTAAAAAAGAAAAAAAGAAAGAAAAAAAAGAAATTAAAAAAAAGAGTGCAGGAATGCATCCAAAAAAGAAAGAAAAAAAAAACAATAGAGAAAGAAAGGCAGAAAAAAAACAAACAAGGCAGAAAATAATAAAAAAAAAGAAAAAGAAAAAGACTTAAAATTAAGAAAGGGAAAAATAATCAAAGCAGGAAAAAAAAAGAAAGAAATTAAAAATAATCAAAAGAAAAAAAAGAAAGGCAGAACGATTAAAAGAAACAAAAAAGTTAATAATTAAAGAAAGAAAGAAAGAAAGAAAAAAAAAAAAAGAAAGAAAAGCAGAATGCATAAAAAAAAGAAAGAAAAAGAAAAAAAAAAGAACAAGAAAAGAAAAAAAAAGAAAAAACAAAAGAAGAAATAAAAAATCCTCAAAGAAAGAAAAATTGAAATATCAAAAAAGAAAAAAAAAGAAAAAAAAAGGCTAAACAAAAAGAGTGCAGAAAAGAAAGAAAAGAAAAGCAGAACATAGAAAGAAAAAATGGAGAAATATTTTTAAAAAAGAAAATTATGGGACGAAAAAAATAATCAAAATGGAAAAAAGAAAAAAATTGAAATTCAAAGATATTAAGAAAGAAAAAAAAGAAAGAAAGAAAGAAAAAATAACCAAAAAATCAGAAATAAAAAATGAAAAGATTTTAGAAAAAAAGAAAGAAATTGGCCATTAAAATACGATTTGAAATGGACGTCAAAGAATAGCACAATATTCTTTTCTTCAAACATTGGGGCGGCGTCTGGAGGGACACTCTTCACTGGGCGGCAATTTTGGTTGTGTCATGTAGATGAATTAGTATAATCAAGTAGCATGCAAAATTAGTTGTTCCATCTGTCCCGCTATTTTTACCTAAACTAATTTTAGGGTTAAATAATACACGAAACAATTACTTTGACGATTGCACTATGAGTCACTTAATGTTAGAGGATTTTTCATAGAACCTACATTGTTAATATACTTAATAACAAACGTTATTTACTAACAAAACAAGACGTCATTTTATTTAAATAGGTTTTGTTTTCAGATTATAGTGTTGTTTTAGTTTTTTGGTGGTCGTCGTTTTTTTGTTGTTGTTTTTTTTTTTTTTTTTTGGAGGTGAGGTTGTATTCGTAAAGAAATCAATGACCATTATTAAATCTTTCTTAAAAAAGAGAACGACTACATTTCTGAAAAGAAGCAATCGGGAGATGGGATAAAAACGAAATGGTGCTACAAAAGAAGATGAAGAAACGAAAACTTTTAACAAAAGATCGTAATCCAATGGACAAGATGAAGAACAGAAATAAAACGAATAGCAAATAAAAAAAACGTTAATAAAAATTATCAGTAGTCATAGAAAAGAATAGACGTAAAATGAAAACTCCAAAACATGTTACGAAGTAGACATTTCTGAATAACTTATTTTTTTTATTATTAATATTTTTACCTAATACAAGTTACAAGTGGCCCCAATATCTGTCTGGATTTCTGAGATGAGTCACTATGCACTCCATCTACAGTATTCTCATCTTTGTCGCCATGTTTATCACAACGTTTCCGTCGTTGTACACTCCGGCCTCCTTCAGGTGGTTGGAATGTCGAACTGAACCCTTTATTTCGCTCACTGGGGTAGACTGTTCTAGTTCCACGTGCCAGGTCTAATGGGTGTCAGCTATCAGTTATCTCCTGTTAATTCCCCTCTCCAAGTTCTCCACTGCTTTAACCAGGTATTGACCTCACAACTCCTTCTTGGGTTCTGTCACTGGATCTAACCAACGCCTTTATCCACTGTGCCTTGTGTCCTTGAGGAGACATGGCACGTGGGACTAGAACAGTCTACCCCGGTGAGCGAAATAAAGGTTTCAGTTCGACATTCCAACCACCTGAAGAAGGCCGGAGCGTACAATGGCCGAAACTTTGTGATGGCGACAAAGATGAGGACAATAGCCCGAATAATGTAGAAAGTGGCCCCAAGTTAGAGACTTATTGAATCAGGTTTTTGTATGGACCTAAGAGGACGTGGTTAAGAAATACAGATGCTTGGCTTAGCTTCGCTTGTTTTCTTTTACGGTATCTCAACCTCAATATGTTATTTAATGTCGATTTAAAGATTTTTATTGCTGGTACTATTTTTTTTGCAAAAATGTATTGCTGGTAATTTTTTTTTTTCAAACATATATTGTTAGTTATATTTTTTTTCAAAAGTGTAATGATAGTAATATTTTTTTCAAAAATATATTTCTGGTAATATTTTTTTTTTCAAAAATGTATTGCAGGTAAAAATTTTCCAAAAATCCTATTGCTGGTATTAAAAGCTATTTTCATATTTTCATTGTGTTTTGACCCCTTTTGGGAGGTTAACTATTTTCCCATAGCTGGGAGCATAACAGATGC